TGGTATTGACTGGTAAAAAATGAATCTTTGTTCTAAAAATATATCAAAGTGGATATCATTTTAAAGAGCACAGTTAATCTAATTTATCTGTGCAAAAAAAAATTTAATTTTCAACTTAAAACGAGAGAGAAATAGTCCGTTAAAGATTAAAGGGGAAAAGATAAAAGGTTTTGTCATGAGAGAGAGGGATGCTGATGTCATTCTGATGTGGACGGGTTACTCATGGTTACTCACCACAAGGTTACTGACTTGATCCGCTCCCTCTATGCTTCTATCCTTCCTTCCTTTCTTCTCATTTCTTGGGTCGTTTGCTCTTGGGATTTTGATAAAGGATTTTGGTCCAAAATCCCACACTTATGGGACTATGCTTAAAGTCCATGTTTGGCACTAAAGTGGTGTTGGATTATGAGCTATGGGACCCATGCATGTTGGATTATTTTGGGACCAAAATCCGTGGGGTCGACGGATTATAAAATCTTACCTATTTAGGTGGGATTTTATAGTAGGCTAGAAATCCATGAGAGTAAATGACAAAACTAATCTCAATCACTTTTTATTATTCCTATGTTTTCCTTATTATCTATTGTTAAGTCTTGTTAATTTTTTATTGTGAAGTAACAACATTACTCATTTTGCCTTCTTCTCCGACATTTAAGTCGCTTGCCTTCAAGTTAGTATGTACGATGTTCTTTTCCCCACGAGAAACAATACTCCTCTATCTCAAAAACACAATCTTCCGAGAAAAAATCATTGAATTGAATACAAGCATGTTGAATACTAACCAACCCGTGTTCTTCTCTAGGAGATGGGGCCGAAACAAATGATACAAAGGGAGGACGGATGTTTAGTACTAACCAAATTTACCCATAAAAAGCCAAAACAAATTAAGGATAAAATTGTAAATTCAACCTTTAACTAATGAATCCCAAGTATACAAATCCAATATGAAATCCAACAAGCAAACAAGTACTTTTTAAAATTCAACACAAATCCAATATGACAAAATTCCACATAATCCTTAAAACACAAAATCAAGGGTTTTACCCAAATCCTTCATTTTTTAAAATCCTACAAGCAAACGACCTCTCAATTGCCTTTTCTGTTCAAAAACATTCCCATCTCATCTCCTTCGATTTTCTCTCTATGAAGTCAATACTTACTCTCCTTATTCTTCTACCTCGCTCTAAATTCTAATCAAAACCCCCTTTCTTCTTTCCCCTCTCGTGCGTCCACGGGATCCCTCTCTCCCCTCCTTGCCTTTTGATTTCTAGACCATTCCCCTTATCACATATCAAACTACCGTAACTAGAGAATCACCCAAACCAAAAATTTGGCAGCAATGGATACCCACGCCGGCGATGTTCATTCCATAGCATCGATTCAGTTCAGTGAGTACGAAATCATACCAAGCTCGTTCGTCCTCCTTTTCCAACAGACGATGAAGCCTACTCAAGTCGCTAGATATCAGTGACCGACAGGGATGCCACAGACTCTTCCAGTGTCGAGGGATCGCCCAGACGAAACTTCGAGTTCCTTACGTACGAGCACCAGCACACGTCCTCATCGAATCATTGGCTCGACCCTGTTTCCACAATTTTGTTTCAAGTTTCACCTCGCCGAGGTTTCACTTGCCGGGGGCGTGATAGAACGTGTACTTAGCTCGGCTGGCTCTTTCAACATTCTGTTATCTTTCTGTTCCATATTCATAGCAAGTGGTTTCACCCACAACCCTTAGGAATAGCTGAGCATTGTTACATCCCATTTTTTGTATAAATATGTACTCTCAATAATACAAGAATTAGATTTCGCATTACATTTACAGTGTCATCGGGTGAAGTTAAAACTAAGGGTCGCTTGTCACAATGTTAATGAACCATAGAAGGATGATGCTTTTGGGAATAGCGTTGGTGATAAGAGAATTGGTGAAGACTATGAGCTTAATTGTGTAGGTTGTTGTGATGTGGTTGTAGCTTCTTTCAAAAGTTTCAGCATTGGTTCCAAGGTGGGTTGTGGAATGGGTATGGACTCTTTTGGACGAGGCAGAGTATATGGTTTCGAAGAGCCATATAAAGAGGCCTTGGTAGTCAGTATTGGAGGGTTGGTTTATCTGAATTAGCAACAGGGTTGCAGGTTGTTCAGAGGCGGTAAGGAGATTGTGTTACAGTCCAGCTATGTTCTTGTTGATGTTTGTGATAGGGACCAACTCCAGGCTTTCAGGAGCCATACAAAGACTCGACAAGCAAGGTTGGGGGATTGTGAGGGGCATGACTTGTTGCATCGATTGCGAAATGTGTTGCAACTGCAAGGAGTAAGCATAAAGCAGTTGAATTGGTCTTTTGGTTCCTTTCTCATTACATTCTGTTTTCTTCTGTGGGTTGCTGTATTTTCAGTTGTTTTCTTTCAACCTTGAGGACAAGACTGTTCTCAAGGAGTGGGGATTATAACGATCAGGACTAAATGGTCATACATGTATTTATTGGGGGTCTTTTGTAATTCACCTAGGCTATAAAACATAATTGTGCTTGTAATGGGATTCAACAAATTAGAGAAATCAATTTGCTTCTCCTTCTCTAATTTACCTTCTCCTACTGCTCCTGTTTCGACCTTCTTCTTCTTTTTCCCCTAAGTCCCCTCTCAATTCTAATGTTGTGTTCAACTAATTCGTCGAGAAAGATATAGGATCATCACAGAGATTTTGAATTAGGCGACAGATCCAACTCGTATAGAGAATTAGGGATTTTCCCCCTCGGACCAATTCTTCCTCAATACTATCTGGAACAGGGACCTGCGTACTTCCTCCTCTTGTTCGGCATTTTTAATTGAGAGTGGATGGTGCCAGTGGGTTTTCAAGTGAGGAGATGGTGGTAACTGGCAATTGATTTCTTGGTGGGAATTTGAGTTAGGAGGGATATAAGCAAAAGTAATTAATTTTGTGGTGGTTGTTTTCATTGGAGTTGATTTTTGAAATCAAAAGAGCTTTGAAGTTTATGCGATCCTAGCGGAAAGAGGGTGGTGGTGGCGTCGATGATGATTGTTTGCCTTTTTTTTGTTTTTTTCTTCTTTCGTTTGCAAGAACGAAACGTTGAAGGGCAAATATGCATTTTTCTTCAAAAAGGTGAGAAATACACTAATTTGCAGAATACATATAAATATAATTACGAAACAACGATTCCTCGAACCCATCAATTTAGACAATCACAACCTCCAAACATGGTCGAAGTGTCTAGTGGTACTAGTAAATTGGTGTGCTAGCCGGCCTAGAATACCAATTCCAAGTCTCGATTCCAGCACCTTTTGCAATGAACACTGGAAATCCACAACTGCCCACAGATGACCACTCGAATATCAAAAGAAGAACTAGCCACTCGAGTCAGTATTGGTTACTCCTTCCCAGTCAAACAACAAAGCATCCCCAAAAAACATTTCAAGTTGAGCAAATTTTTGTATTTATCATCTCACAGCGTGAAGCCAAAGATTGTCATCCACCAATCAAACACAATACTCAAACCGTTAAGTTAAAGAGGAGACAATTACGAGGTCCAACCCCAACCCAACACAAAAGAAGCTCATTATTCCTACTCACACCATCCATCCAACTCAGACATACATACAAACAAAAGGCACAAGTAACATGAATCAATGTCCAAAGAGTAACGTCTAAACACAGCCACACAGCACAAACCAATGATCACAATTCACAGACAGCTTGGAATGCATGCAAGACATTGATGATACACCAAACCCAACCAACCATCGAAACAAAAAACAAAAAGATCTTCATTTAACACAACAATCTGTCTGCACCGGTCAAAGGAAAAGATTTCATCATCTCACCCTTACTCACGCAGGATCAAACCCAATTCCTGGCACGACAAAAAGATCACACCTTTATGGATTGGGTTGGAGTTGAACTGTTCTAACCACCAAAATCTCTCAGGAATGTTCTGATATAATGTGTTGCATATCTAAACCATTCAAAATTCCAAATCCTAACCGCATTATCCACAAGCTAAACCATCCATAACAGTATGACAAGAACATCACCCACGGATTGCAAAAGCTAAGAGCAGAAGGGATATACAGTCACATGGTCCCCTATATTGGAAAACCAGGATGGTCTTTGAGGAAACTGGGAGCATTAATAATTGGGTATGCTTTACTTTTCTTGTGGGGAACCAATAGCCATACCTAATTCAAGAACAACTCACAAAACAGTTAAAAGGGCAACCAGAAAAAGCAGAGCTCCAAATAGCAAAGCTAGCTCTTGCACAAGCAATGTGTCACACACAGCTTGGCTACTACTACAAAGAGAAGCTGATATAAAGAAGAGGAACACAACGAATGCAACAATGAAAAGGACAGGCATCATAAGAGAAGCAAAGGAAGAAGTCACTGTCTATTAGTAAATGAGATTACCCATTATTGCAACTAACACAAGGGGGAAAGGGATGACATCCAGAACCCATTAAAGAGCTCTCTGTAAGTAAGGCAAGGAAGCATCAAAATACTGGAATCAACCACAAACAAGCAACCAACTAGAGTAAATACAAGTGAAGCAAAGAAAGATTGGACTGAACAAACATGTATCCATTCCCATATATATAGAATCAGTGTATCAGAAACACTTCAGAACGAGAACAGTTAAGAGTTTCACAATCCAAACAACCATATGGGCAGCTCATCAAATCCATTTCCTGCTGCTCTCTCTACTGCCTAACCCTAACAAAAGAAGTCACCACCATGGCATAGACCTTTAAAAGGCCTCTAAGAGCGCAAAAGCATCCAAAACCACAAGAACAACCATTGATTCCAAACATCCATCCAACACTAAACAAAGAGGACAACAAGCCCCCAAGAGTTCACCATACTAGATAATCCGAAGACAGAAAAGAGAATAACAAAAGCCAATCACCAACGAAACAGCTCAAATAACAGAGATCTGCAAACATGTGAAATCGCTTCACATCTTGCGGACCACTACCCTTCAGAGGAGTGAGAAATCAGCGCCCCCCGCCGCCGCCGCTGTTGGGACATTCCCTGGCGAAATGCCCACTCCCACCACAGTTGTAGCAGCCGCCTCCGCCGGCGCCACCACCACCTCCTCCGTACCTGCCGCCACCACCGCCTCCGCCTCCACGGGGACAGTCCCTGGCCATGTGCCCAGGCTCGCCGCAGCTGAAGCAGCCACCGCCTCCACCTCCGCTACCACCGTAGCCTCCTCCGCGGCCTCCCCTGCCACCTCCTCCTCCGTACCCGCCACCACCATAGCCTCCTCCGCCACCGTACCCGCCTCCGCCGTAGCCACCTCCGCCACCGTAGCCGCGACCGCCACCGCCGCCTCTTCCACCGCCTCCGCTGCCGCCGCTGGGACCTCCCTGGACGGGAGCGCCGTTGGGTCCGGTCACGTCGATCGCCTTGGTACGGCCGTCGTTGGAGTCCTCGATCTGGTACTCAACCTCCTCATTCTCGCCGAGGCTTCGGAATCCCTCGGCTCGAATGGAGGTCTGGTGAACGAACAGATCCTCGGTGCCGTCGTCGGGGGTGATGAACCCGTAGCCCTTCTGATCATTAAACCACTTCACCTTCCCGGTAAGCCGATCGCTCATCTTCGCCCGCCGCCGATGTGAAACACAAGAAACAGAGTGTGAGAGAAAGAGAAAATCCCTAAATCCCTAAAATCTGAGAGAAAGGGTTTTCGGTTTTTCTTCCCAATATGTGGAGAGTGAGGGGCAGAGAAAAGAAAGAGAATCTTATATAGGGAAGGGTTACGGTGCCACGTCGGCGGGTGCGGGGAAGGCGTAAATCGCGTGTGGAAGGGAATCGAAGCGACGGCTGCGGATTTTCCGATCGGACGGCTGGGGGTTACGGAGGAGTTGATCTTCGCCGTTTGATATGGGTGGGGTGGGGAAGCCGTGGGGCCGCGTTTAGCGGGGCCCGAGGGAGGGGTGAGATATCGTGTGAAAATACCTTCCTATCCCCTTTGAGATTTTATTATTATGAGAAGTTTTTTTTTTTTTGCAATTTTCTTTTTCGGGTTTTTCTCAATTTAGTATCTATCTATACATAATATAATACACCGAAGGAAAAAACGGGAGTCTCATTTCAAATTTCCGGCAACGAGAGTGAAAGTAGGAAGGACATTTTGGTCTTCACAATTACTTTTTTTTATTCATTAAAAAGACAAGTACTGGGATTCAAACCATGACCATTTTAAAGAAAAGCAAGGATCATAACCAATCACACTAAGTACATTTGTCGTATCTTTTTAAATTAAAAACATATAATAGTATGGAGGAAAAAACCCTTCACCCATTTCAAATTCCCTGCTCCATGAGCGTTTGTAGGAAGGGTAGAATAGGGAGTGTCAATTTTTTTTCTCTTTCCTCTGTGGAACGGGCCAACTTACCGTACACATGTGGATTTGAACGGGTCCAGGAGTGTCAATTTTTTTCTTTAAGCCCTTTTATTTCTCCCTGGTGATAAAATATATATGAAAAGCTAAAAACAATACTCATTTTTATTGCTAAAAATAAAAAAATTAACAATAAACTAATGCATAGTATCTAATGGGCTAACCGCTAACCGCTAACCATAAAACAAAAGAGTTGAATGGGTCTGACCTACACGAGATTTGGCCATCAAGTAAAACAAATGAACATCATTGGTTTGTCATTCTAAAACAAGTTATTTTCTCTGGCATAATATATATTATGCTATTATTTTATATCTTAGTGGCTAAAATATAATGTATTTTAAAGTTATTCAATGGTTCAACCTCGACCAACCCAATTAGTCCAATTTTTATCATTTCAAATAGGAATGGCAATGGGGCAGGTCCGGGGCGGGTATCTCGATACCCATACCCGCCCCATGGCAGGTCGGGTCCAGGTCGGGTAATTTATCACGGGGCGCGGGTAGGGGCAGGTCGACCCATTGGGTATGTAATTATGCGAAAAACATTAGAAATATTCGTTATTTTCATTAAAAGACCAAGAAAGAAACCATAATATGATAAAATGTAGTTAAATTATTGAAGAAATTGAGGTTTTTACTTATCTACAACTTTATTATAGCTAAAATATAATGTAATAAGAGGAAAACCCTAAGTAATTTGACTAAGATTATATGTAATATAGGCAAGAATGGGTCGAGAATGGGGGAGGTCAGGGCAGGTCAGGGCGATGAGAGGTACCCATGCCCGCCCCGCCCAGCCTACGGGGCGGGTTTGACCTGCTCCAAAACAGGTCAAACAGGTCGGGTAAATCGGGTCAGGTCGAAATTGCCATCCCTAATTTCAAATATATACTATATAATTATTTGATATCATAATGATCAAATTATAGTGTATTTTATAGGGAATCGTTTGGTATTTGTTAGTAAAAAACGAAACAGAAAGATCTATTTGGTTATTTTAAAAATTAAAGCGATCCTAAACATTTTCAGTTCCTTTTGAATTTTTATGGTTTTATTCTAGAATAAGTGATGTGCAAATGGCGAATTGCAGTCATTTTTTTTCTTTCACTATTTTTTATTTTCAAATAGAAAGTTTAAAAGTAAAGAATAATTAGAATTTGGCATATGTCGGTCAAACATGCTGAATTTCAAGTTTTGGCCCGTTTTGATCAAGTCTAATTTATAATCACATGGTTCCCTGATACCCGATAAAAATCTCAATCCAAACCAGTTTGGCAGGTGAGTCTGTGTTTACCGCTTTTCTAGGATACGACAATGGCGGTTCCTATCCCAAATTGTGTTATTCGTTCTTGATTTCCTTAGATTTTATCATGGCCTAACAAAAACCAGAAAGCACAATGACGACAAGATGAAAGTTTTATAAAGCAAATTAATCGACCAACGGGCCGAGTAAAAGCTAGCAACGATTGTGAGATGCTCATTTCCCGAAAACCGACGGGATAGGCGATTTTTTATTCGATTTTCTGGAATTCGGTTTCTATAAAACTTACTTCAACTCATCATATTACCAGAAACAATATTGTTTCACAAAGTAACATGTACTTGATTTTGGTTCATAAGGCCGATTTTTGATTCATTGCATCATTCATGTCTCTTTCCTGCTAAAATTCACTATTTTTATCACGAATTTCCCTAAAAAACTATACAACAATAAGCTATACACCCCATTATATTATCAAATTTATACCTCACCTTCCTCCGGCCAATTGGCCGGGGGCCACACTAGTTAACTATTAAGCAAGGTTGTAACCCGTGGGTTGACCCACTTTGATCCTAGCCTGGTGAGAAAAATGGGTCGCACGCAATTGTCGGGTCGACCGCTACAAGGTACCGGGTTGGAGGTTAAATTGTGTCATTTTTTCTTTGGTTTGCTAAATGCGCCTATTTTTCGATTTTTCTTTTGCCCAACTCAATCTTTGGAATCCTAAGTTGAACATTTGAATATATGTGTTATATAAGTGTGTTAATTTTCACTATATGTTGGATCTAAGTACGACATGTTATTTTGGTAGAATATTATATATTATAAACTCATATGTTAGATAATATTTGATATAATTTATCAGGACAGGTACAATATAATAATTTTTTACATATTTTCGGACTAAAACAGGTGACACATTAACCTTGAATCACTATCTCGATCGGGTCCGGGTCAATGGGACAGTCAAAACATCTGTACGATTGGACTCGTCAATACAATCTGTCCTTCCCTTTGGGTGGAGCAACTGAGCAAGGCAAGGGCAAAGGCGTGTTCTTGTTCTATTCTTTTTTTTTATATATACCGTTCTTGGGAAAAAATCCCAAAGTACACACGTTCTTAAAAAAAATTCCCAAAATACATAAGTTATAAAAAAAATTCCAAAACTACACATGTTTGAGCATCACCGTTTAAAACCAAAACGGTGACGTATTCACCGCCTTTATCTAAAACGGTGATGTATTAACCGCGTTTGTGGAAGACGGTGAATACATCACCGTTTTTACTTCACCGCGTTTGTCAAAGACGGTGAATATTTCACCGTTTAAAACCAAAACGGTGACGTATTCACCGCCTTTATCTAAAACGGTGATGTATTCACCGCGTTTGTGGAAGACGGTGAATACATCACCGTTTTTGTTGACAACGGTGATTACCTTCACCGTTTTAGGGTAAAGCGGTGATATATTCCCACGTTTCCCACCCCTGGTAGGTCAAAATTAGGTCACACCTACCTATTGTTCACCGTTTGAGACAAACGCGGTGATGTTGTTCACCGTTTTTGACAAAAACGGTGAATAATAGGCAGATTTTCCTATAAATACCAACCCACCAGCAGAAGCAAAAACATAACCACTCCCCCCTTCTTCAAATTTCAGCAACAAAAATCGAGCATAATACACAGAACAGACATTTTTCGGTATGTTGAGACTTTTCGTATTATTGTCTAATTATGTTTTTAGTAGTTATAGTATGATTAAATTTTCGTATTATGTTGTTGTTAGTTAGTTGAATTTATGTTCGTTAGTTATAGTATGATTTAATTTTCGTATTATGTTGTTGTTAGTTAGTTGAATTTATTTTCGTTAGTTATGAGATGGACAATATTAGTTGTACAATATGATTTTGGTTAATTTTACTGTCTTTAAGCTAATATATACTTATCCTCGATTTGTAGATATGGGTAAATTCAAGAAGTTTCATATTCGGTTTCGGTGGAATGGAAGGGTGACAAACTCTAACATAGGCATTGATTATGAGGACGGCGAATCCATTATGCTGAACATTGGTTCCCGATTCAATTTTCAAGAACTCTGTGATCTTTGTGCAGAAAGGGTTTGTACGAGCGGACAGACGAGACTTGGCAAAATTACTTACCGGTATCCAGACATGAGTGCTGGCGGGGTCGTTTTCCAAGAAGTTGTCATAAACGATGATGACGCGGTTACGATGATGTTACAGTTCCTAAGCGATAACCAAGTCCGGCTTGCAGAGGTGTATGTTGAGACCGAGGCGGTCGGTGAATCTCATTCTCACCAGTATTCTTATGATGATGGTTTTGCAGGAGGGTACGAATGGGGTGGTAGTTCGAGCAACTACCAAGGCGGTGGTTATACAGGAGGTTACGGGGAGGGTGGTGGTTCAATCAACTACGGTGGATCGAGTAGTGCAGGATGGGACAAATACTCGCAACCTCCTAAACCAGCCCCATTTGTTGAGGCCGATGGTGTTCAATGGCCTGCTTGGGGGCCAGAGTGGTATGGAATCGAGAATACCATTCGATCAGGGCGTACTTCACATGAGCGAGAGGACGATGTTGGTGATCGTGGTCATGTTGATCCTTCTAGCCCGAGCTATCCATTCGAGTCGAGCGACGATGATACTGAGGAAGATTTGAGGGAGAAAGAAGTGAAATGTTTGTGGGGTGAGTTGAAAGTGAAAGGGGAAGGGGGTATTTATAGTTGGGGGAAGGGGGAAGGGATCTGCCGAGAATTAAATTCTCCCAGTCTTCACCGCGTCTAACAGAAACGGTGAAGTCACCGCGTTTCTCGAGGACGGTGATAAGGCGCGGATCGAGCGACGTGGCTCAGCGTGAGGCGTCGGATCTGGAAAGAAAACCACGATCCGCGCCTCACCGTATCCAACGGCCAC